TGAGCAGCAGGTGGCTGACGGACTCGTGCACCAGGAACTCGGCGTAGCGCACCCAGGTCTTGGCCAGGATCCAGTCCCACTCGGAGTCGCTGGGCAGGAAGATGGGGCTGTCAGGGCCTGGGCACTGGCTGGGCTGTGGGGGGAGAGACACAGGAAGGCTGCGGGGATGGATTGGCACAAACCAGGTGTGTGAATCCTGCTGCTTCCCCCAGGGGAGCCCAGGGGCTGGGACCCGGCTGCCAGGATGAGGGGACATGACAGTGCCGCAAATCCAGTGTTAGGAAGAGGAGAGACACAGCTGGGGTGTGTGCGCACACACAACTGGGCACATGCATGCACACCCAGAAGGGTGTGGGGGGGATTAGGGAGCCAGGACTCCTGCATTATCTCCCTGGGCTGGTCCTTTTATATGACAATGCCCAGCCCTGGGACTGTGTAGGGGTGGGGGCTGTGTGGGGGTCCCCCTAGGCAACGTGTGGGGGCACCAGGGGCTGTTACCTGGATGGCCACAGGGATGAGCTCCCCGGAGGGTTGCAGGTGTAGCAGGCAGAGGGGCGCGGCGATGTACTGCTGGTAGCCGTTGATCCTGTTGGCCGGGACGCCCTCCAGGATTTTATAGTCAGCGAGGAAGATGTTCCCCTTCTATAGAATCATAGAATATCAGGGTTGGAAGGGACCTCAGGAGGTATCTAGTCTAACCCCCTGCTCAAAGCTGGACCAACCCCCAGACAGATTTTTGCTCCAGATCCCTAAATGGCCCCCTCAAGGATTGAACTCACAACCCTGGGTTCAGCAGGCCAATGCTCAAACCACCAAGCTATCCCTCTCCACACACAGGGAAAGCAGAGCAGAGTGCAGGGGCTGGCAGGGGCCAGTGCATCTGGAGGTGCAGAGCGGGGTCCCCGGGGTGTGGGGGGGAAAGCTGGGATGCCAGTGCTGTGAGCTTCCCCGCAGCAGTGCCTCTCCCAGCGCTGTGAGCTTCCACGTAGCAGTGCCCTGGGACTAGCCCTTGGAGCCAAGTGGCCAGTGCAAGCACAGCCATTGGCTCTGGAGTTGGGCCCACTGGACACCTCTGACACGTGGCTGCTCGTCCTTGGAGTGACGCTGGAGAGGGAGCC